TATGAATCCGGAGTTGGAAGCGGATTCAACGCTGTGGTTGTGACGATCACTGACTGCCGTGAGGATGATGTTAGCAGCGGTGAATTCGAATGCAATCTTGATAAATTTGCATTATCTGCGATGGTTGGAGTTTTAATTTCAGTAAGACTGCTTTCACTAGGAGTGAACAATGACTGCTGGTCAAGTAGTTCTGCTGCTTTTAATCGCGTAGTGTTTTCGGAAAATTGAATTTTTGGTGATTCAGTTTTGGGTGTCTCTGAGGCATCAGTTATGGAGATTATGGTAGTTGAGTTGTGTATTGAATCTGAACGTAAACCAGTGGGTACCACGTCTGATTTCGTGGAAAACGCCCAATCTTGGGTGCTTTCAGAGGATTCAATAGATTCAATAGATTCCGATAGGTTAGAACTCAAGTTGGATGACTGAATCGAAGTGGAACTGAGATCATTCAAAAGAGTATCAGAAGTTAGCGGTATTGATGGCAGTGAAGTTATTTCAGTAACTACATTTGATTGGTAGTGCGATGAATTGAAATTCTGCGTATCGTTTCCTAATAGCTCTCTGTTTAATTGGGATGAATCTCCAGTTTTGCTTGTTGCTGCTTCATCTGAAATTAGTTCATTGAATTGGTTGATCAGAACGGGCAATCCTTACCACTACAAAACTCCACAATAGAATATCAAGTACAACTGAAACTTCTGATTGAAACTGAAGGAAAAGTTCGAAGAGAACAGAAGACAAAACTGCACTTTTGCATTTCTCGGCATTTCAAAGCAATATAATCGAGCAACTGAGACTCTCTATTTGATGATAGTTTATCAAATTCACGCCAATCAAAGAGTTCTTTTCTGTTGTTCATTTGATGAATATGCTCTTAGTGCAAGGGATTATTTATTCTAGCTTAATCTTAGAATGCTGTTACACCGGTTGTAAGTAATTTCTCCATTATAAGCCGATCTAAATGTATTTCACATCGCTCAGATTTGTTGCAAACTTCAAGAGTCGTTGATTTATAAAAGTTGACCTTTGTGACGAAGATCATTTTGATGGTTGCTAGTGCTGGTTGGGTATTGATCATGGTCATGAAGGGCAGTGATGGTCAATAATCGACGCGAATTAATGGTGCCATAGAGCAATAAACCAAAACCGACGATCACAAGTGCAACACTCAATGAAAGCACAGTGCAAAGTGCTAAACCTCGTAAATTCGGCAATGGCATTAGTGATGCACATTCTAAAAGTTCATTTCAGCATAAGACGACAAAAGCTTAATCATTCAGACAATTTACTGGTTAAGTGATAACTCAAATGAAGCAATCAAACTATAAAGTACGAACGCTTGGGAAATTAGACACCTTGCTGAAGAGTTTATGATTAATTGCAGTCGTTTGGTGATGCCATCTTTAAGAGGTGATTAACACAGAATCAAAATCTGAAATTCACGTCGACTATATAATTATTCTCGAATGCAATGAATGATTACATTTGTCATTTATCGAATTAATTACACTGATGAACAAAGAACAAGTCTGCGTTTGTTCTGAGCAATACAACGAAAATCGACAGTCACTACACGCCTGAAATAATCAATGCAAATGTCTGCAAAAGATTCATTCGAACAAAATTATCCGTCTGAAGAATATCGATGGTTGAAGCTTTAACAGCAACACTGATATGCTTTCTTCCACATTTACGCATAAAAACTTTTGCATTAATGATTTATCGGCGTTGATTGTCCCATCCATTCATTCGTTGCTACTGTGAAAGTATGAATATTTTAGCAGAAACGAAATCATAAAATTCGTCTCTGCAAAATTTATCAATAAAAATAAGCAATAAATAAATAAAAATTCGGAAATATTCTGTCGGAACAGACCTGAAAGGAAATACTGAGAAATTCCAAAAAAAAGAATGTTCAATGGGGAACGTTAATGCCTAGCAGATAAATGTAATAAGAGGTAAAATTAAAAAGCAATGTTTTCGAGATAATATGCCTGTAGTTTCTGAATGATGATATCTGAAAGCGGATATAGTTCAACGTCTTCGAGCTGAAAGAATTTGAGAGTATTTCGAGATGAGTGATATGATTTAGTACATCATTAAAATAAACGTATATCTAAGATATTTCAACGATTCGCAGTCGGTTTAAACGACAGCTGTGTTTATTATCAACAACAACAACAACAAATGAATACTTATGATTCCCTGAAAATAAGAAATCCGTTTTACATGATGTATTCATTCGCACATGACGCACACCTCTTCATTATGCTATTCATTCAAGCACACAATAATGTGATTCATTACACGCACATTAAAAAAGCGTCTCGTAGCGCATTCTGTAACCATTTCATCTGATCGNCTATGAATTTTGAATCGAACGTTTAGTGTTTTTTAATTCGAATTTCCGAAGTTTTTTGATTTGATTCATCCGACATTCATCGAATGCATTGCAGCAAACAAAAATCGCTAGTTTTCTCAAATATTACATTAGTCATCAGTCACTTCCTTCCTTCTTCTACAAAGAGGCAAAATAGTAACAGGAACATAAACACTCTCAATGAGCATATCTAATATCAAATATCTTGCTAAAGGTAAGGTGAGTGAAATCCACACTTGATCACCTGCTTGAATCCAACTTGCTAAAAACCACAAAAAAACAAAGAAAGATTTCAGCGCTTCCTTCGATATTGAATAAAATGAGAAAGGATGGGAAAAAACTACAAAGATTCAGCAACATTTTACATTGAATGACATTCAGACAACAATCTGGGAACTTTGAATTGCTGAGATCGCCTGATAATGAGAATACTGCTTATTGAACTTCGCATGTTTTCCTCTCAAAGCTTGTTCACCCGGCAGACTCGATCCTGAATAAAGGTAAACTGATTAGAAACAATCATTGCTAATCTAGTGGAAAATAAAGAGACCGTGGCTATGCAGAAACCGATATATTTATTCTGGGCGACTGAGTCCAGTATCCAACAAACAATTGCGCCATCTCTTATTAACGTCCAGTGTATGAGTCCAGTATCCTTTACTCTACACTTATTTCACTGCAATGGTTTCCAGTGAAATAAGTTCAAGGTAAACACTTTCGATACAAGTTCATTTCCGTTTACTGTCACAATATTATGTGCTTGTAGGATGCACTGAACAAGAACTGCGAAACAAAGAGATAACGAAATGTAAATAAATACTTACGAATGATTATAGAAATAGAATAGTCGATTGTTTAATCTCATCTTAAAATATGTATTATATCATCGTCGACCTGCTATTGCTCTCTTACAACACCTATTCAAATAAATGTCTCGATTTCGTTCCATACCATTTCAAACAAACAATACAAACCAACTGTCTTCGAACTACTGAGATCAGTAAATGAAATAATACCTATGATGGAACATCAATGCCTTTGCATTGAAATATTAAATGTTTAGTTATCAATCATGGTCACTGATCATGGCCGTTAGTAGGAATCCAGTGATGAACTCCGACAATTCTTAATCAATTTCATTGAGGCTGATAGTGATACAAAATAGACACTAATTTGAAGGCAACGAAGATGAAAAAATCGTGTTCATCACTGCTTTACGTCGATAAGGACCACCTCTTAGTTTTATATCATTTTGAGAAAATCAACAATGTTAATTTTTCAAAAAATTTTGCAAGTGAATACTTCATTTCTGCTTATTAGCAAAATAACAAATTGGGGTTGATAACATTGCTCTATGCATTAACAACGGTTTTTTCATCGCTCTTCAAAAGTTCCGACGTTTGAGCCATCGTTTGTGCTAGCCCTAACAACCGCTGATGCATTCCACGCGTCAGTCGGCGATATAAATGTTGATTCCATGTGAACACGACGACGACAAACATAAACCCACAAAAGATAACGCCTTTTTAATGTCAGGTTCCAATCAATGGTCTTTTCGAAGCCATTCTTCCGTAGACTTTTCAACAATTCTTGTGATCAATGGAAACAGTTAGCTCTAACAACCGGCGATACGTGAACTACTTCCATGAAGAAACAAGACGGCAAAAACTGCTTATGTGAATGTATGCGCCTCATATATGACACTTTTAATTAAAAGTTCAATTTCATTTTACATCACATTATCAAGAGAGATATTTACAGATAATCACAATGAATCATCAGTTCTACAGAAAGAAGCGTCGGAACATGCAAGAACTCGAGGAATTTGAGAAATTAACATCAACAATTCACAAAAGATGATTGATGGTTATAATATGGCAAGACAGTATTCGCTGAGCATAGTTAGAAGAATGTATTGCGCGAATTTATGGGAGAATCTAGCCTCAATGATTGTTATGTTGAAGCTTGCACGGAACCGTTTTTGGGCAAACAAAAACTTCTCTTAACTTTAAGGAACAAAGAAATTTCTAATATCAGAAAAGAAATTACAATCAGTGAACAAAAATGTTGCAAATTACTGTTGAAAATTGAACATTCAAAGAATTATGGACTATGATAGACGACATCACACTTACACAATGAATGTTTCATAATCAATACATAGAGTGCACATCAACTGAACGTATTTGAGGTTCTCATGAGAGTTGCATGTTTTCCAGTAATAAATTCCATAATCGCAACGCTCATATCCATTATGTCGGCGCTGGGAGTTCCGCAAATATCATGCAGCTGTTCTATGACCTGTAATATTATATTTCAATTACCAGCTCAACATATTTTCATGGCAAATTCCATAATAAATGAGTTTTATTCAATAATATAAACCTATACTCTAATCAGGTAGGTTTTAAATTTCATTCGCATGAATTACTACTTTAGTTGGAATATTTCATAAAGTGCATTCAATTATTAGGCGAACTGACTGATGAAAGCATATCAAAGAGAAGAATACGATATCGAAGAGTACAACGCAAGCTGATCGAATATCAAACAAACCTGATCGGCAACAGCAATACCATCTGCACAACATGCTGCAGTAGTAACAACACCAGTACTTAATAGCATCCAATCGCCACGAACACGACACAAACGCGATCTTTAATGACATTCATTATCACCGTATCTTTCAAATTCATATTCATATTTAGCATATTCATCAACATTGATTCTTCAGTGCTTTCACACTCTCATTCACAACTACATTTGGAAGTAGTGCGCTAAGATGAGACGTTATTCACAATTCGTTGCGTCATCAAAATTGAAGAAGTACATTAAGAACATCTCAAAGCACTAAAAAGAACTTCAATTTTCGCATTTATCTCAACCAGTATTTTCCCGAGAGTATTTCATTCGAAAAGTGACCAATCAAGCAATCCGAAATCGAAATAGAGAGTTCAATTGACAGACCTTGGAAAGTTGTTGCCAGCCACTCCAAGAACATTGATTAACATTCTTTCTAGAATTTCGTCCCAGAACATAAATACGCAATCCATACACAATAACGTAAATTGCCAATAAGCAGCCGTATTGAATGTACGGGTTAACCGTCGTTCTGGAAACGCTTTACGACAATTCACTCCTCAACTGTTAAAACACAACCGAAATCACAGTTGCTATGTTTTTTCGATGTCATCGCTCATGGTCATCTATTAATATACGCGAAGAAAAACGCTGGTAAACAAACGAACAGATTGGAAGCCTTAGCAATAAAAAACACATTCAATGAACACAGCAACTCTCAATACTAGCTCCAGTTTTGTTGAGAATTTCAAACCCAGCCAAGATTACTCATTCTCATCATCAGAAAGCGGTGATATGATTGATCTCACATGAAAGTCGCCAGGAATACAAGTAATGACGCTTTCATTGCTTAGCGATAAATGATGAATATCCAATATCATTACTGTAAAGGAAACAAGTGAAAATAACTGCCACAGCCGTGGAATTAGAATCAATTCATTTACTTCTTCCTTCNAGTGATAGAAGGTGATACATACAAATGATCAACGAAGCGAATCGATAGTTAAAATCGAACCGAGCATTTTCAGTAACGTTTCTGCATAAACAAGTGGCGACTGACGCGACGAAACATTCCAATCCAACGAACTCAGAATTCGAATCTCAGAGCGCATTACCGAATTTACGGTATATGCGTATCCAAGCGTTTTTAGTGCTAATTTTACCATTGAGCGCGATAAACTCTGCAAAGTACTTCAATCAAAGATTTCTAATATATATTAAAGAAACAAATTCATTTGACATATAACTCTTCAATTTGGACTCATTTTCGCACTTCTAAGCTTGTATTCGTACGGAATTTGCGAAGAGATAGACTAATTATGCATCGTGGTAAGTTGATAAATCTGAATGAACGAACATCATGATAACTATGAAGCTTCGAGGCAATCTGAATTGCGGATAAAATTCGTAACGGTATTTGTCGAGAAATATTCGCTTCTATACGTTCCCATTCGTTCTGTTTGTGAGCAATCGGATGAGGTGTTTCATACACAGTTTTATACAGATCATCAACGTGAACCAACATAAATCTGCAAAGCAAAAGTTCTGATAAAAGGTAAGTAAATTGTTCGCGAACTGCTGTTTGAAGCATTGACACAGTTATCATTGGTCCGGGCGAACAAAATCTTCAAAACGTCTGCATCAGTAAAAAATCATCAAACTTACTAACTTGTTAAAAATAATTGCAGCCAAGTATTTAATTTCTTGAGGAAGACGAAGACGAACGCAAACGGTGAAAATGTATTCGACGGTTTCAGTGGTTAGGAAAATTTGATCATCTTCCATCTAAATAACAAAGCGATAGATTTTTATTGCTGAATGAACGACTGATCTCTTTCAATAAAGAATCTCAACCAAAAAAAATCTTTTACTGGTGAGGTAAGTCCGACAAAATGCGACGTTTTGTTGCACTTTAAGAAATGACTGTCGGGACTCGTAAACTTGCGTTTACTCATGTCGACATCTTCACGACAGGAAACAAAATGATTTTGAACTATTACAAAACTAAAATGAAACAACGACTTTAATTAACCGCTTCACTGATCCGCTGTAAATTTTCGGCCGCTAAAATACACAACCAATCGTCATACATATCATCCGTTAAGCAATTATGCGTATCTTCAAAATCGGGTACAATCGGCCGGTCATTCTTGCTTTTCTAGAATCACAATTTAAAATGTTCAATCATGCGCTATGAATCTTGCAATAAATAACTGTTTTCTCTAGTTGCACCGATCATTTTTCCTATCTGACCCATTTCCAAAACATTTGTGACTAATAGCAGTTGCAACAAAATGCACTGACATTGAAAGAGTGTTTTTCCAAGGGAAATTTAACTTCTATATAACGCCCTCTATTAGATTGTCGTTCATAGCATTCAAAAACGCGAATAAGGAGATTTTTCGACTGGTGAACATTCACATGCCTCAAATTACCATAAAAACAGCGCCATTATGGAGAAATTAACTCATAATCAGTTTTTATTTCCATTTATTTTCACGAATTGAAACGTGTAAATTGATCTTGGCATCTGAAATGCCATGAACTCAAGTAGTTTTTGGCAGTTATTCGTGCTGAATCAATGAGAAATAATAAAATTCTCAAATGAAATGAAACAATTAAAACACATACATTTGATGAAGCATCACCGTCCTCATCGTCGTACCTCATCAAAGCGTTCATTACCGATCCTTTATTATTACTTTTAATAGTCGTTACATTTATATACGTACAGAATAAAGGACTCGATTGAACCACGATCTATATCGCTATGCGACAATATCTCGAGAAAGACCTATGAACTGCGGTTCCAACGTGGAATGCTCGTTTTTTTTGTGGTAAAAACATATTTACCAAAGTGAAAAACGTACTTTTTCATTTGAAAAAAATTGACCTCTCAGAAAAAGAACTGATTTTGCAGATTAATATTGGTTAAACTATACTTAAAGCTTTCTTTAAACTAAATCTGATAGGCTTCAGCAAAGGCTTAGCCAAAACGGTTGGGGGGAAAGGGGGAAGGGAGCGCAGAGGTTTCCACCTGGAAGGTGGAAAAGTATAAGAAAGGAAGAGACGAGGAAATCAACAGTGAAGAAGAAATAAACTTACAAAATCTTTCTGCAAAGAAAACAGAAAATGAGAGGGAAGGAGAGGGCAAAAGCGGGACCTCAAAATTCATTTAATTTTCTGTGACATGAACAGTTTGCCCCCCCCCCC